TGGGGGGGGGGGTGCATTGAGGAACCTGGCCTTGGGGCAGCAGAGAAAGTAAATCCAGCCCTGCTTGTACTATATTTTTGTGATATAGAACACCACAGAACACATCAGTGCATTACCATCCATTGGCAAGGTGCATTGGGGGGCTATTATGAATTATTGAGCACACCAGATCACATTGAGGTAAAGCACCCTCTAACCCAATGCGTTACCGCAGTGCAACAGTGTGGACCCGGCCTGAAGCATAGGCTTCTTGATTGGGGGGCCCTCTTTAAGTCTGTAAGTGAACAGGGAACCAGGAAGTGGTCACAAGGCTACTTGAATAGAATTAGCTACAATTAAGGTGCCAATATACTGAACAAGACCCCTAAAGTTGGCCATGCACAGCTCAAATGTTTCCTGTTAAATCGTCTGAAACTGAAGTCGTGGGTGGCCCTGTTGGCACCAAATTGCAAAATCGGGAAGCTGGGCTAAAAAAAATGGATGGTGGAATCAAGTCATTAGAAGAGGGAATCAAATTAGATGAAGGAATCAAGTCATTGGATGAGGGAATGAAATTGGATGGGGGGAATCATGTCATTGGATGGGGGAATCATGTCATTGGATGGGAGAATCACATTGGATGGAGGAATCAAGTCATTGGATGGGGGAATCATGTCATTGGATGGGAGAATCACATTGGATGGAGGAATCAAGTCATTGGATGGGGGGAATCATGTCATTGGATGGGGGAATCAAATTGGATGGAGGTATCATGTCATTAGATGGGGGAATGAAACTGGATGGGGGAATCAAGTCATTGGATGGGGGAATGAAACTGGATGGTGGAATCAAGTCATTGGATGGGAGAATCACATTGGATGGAGGAATCAAGTAATTGGATGGGAGAATCACATTGGATGGAGGAATCAAGTCATTGGATGGGGGAATCAAATTGGATGGAGGTATCATGTCATTGGATGGGGTAATCAAACTAGATGGAGGAATCAAGCCAGCGGATACAGGAATCAAGTCATTGGATGGGGGAATCAAATTCGAGGGATAAATCAAGCCATTGGATGGTGGAATAAATTGTATGGAGGAATAAAGTCATTGGAGGAGGAAATCAAATTGGATCAAAGAATCAAGTCATTGATGGAGGAATCAAGTCATTGGACTGGGAAGTCATTCAAAATGAATGGAAGAATCAAGTCAAGTCATTGGATGGCAGAAAGTGAAAATAAATTTCTGAGTGAGGGGAACTCTGACAACTCAATGGAGCAGCAACACCCCCTCCCTCTAACTATGGTGATGAAAACATTTTATCTGACTTTATCATATAATTAATAACATCTGTTAATCCGTCCAACAAACTCATAAAGAATCTCTGAAATGCAGATTTGAAGACATCATTATAAATGCCCCCCCGGCCCCCATTGTTCCCAGTACCGAAACGGCATTATCGAATGTGAATCCTTCTACGCTTCCCTATAATAAATATAAGCCCTGTAAGATAAAATGCATCCCTCCGGGATGTGTCGAAGGGGGGAGGGGGGGGGGTTCCCGAATCAGAACATTGGAATAATAATGAGATTCGAGCGAGCCCTCCTGTTCTCACGTTTGATTAACCTGTCAATCTGCTGCACCGCATTGGAAATAATTAACTCTTATCTTGTGAAATGTTAATTTCTCCTGCGGGTTTTTTTAGAGACTTAAGACTTTCTGCGTTGGGCTATTAGTCACGTTTGGGGGGGGGGGGGGGCTTGTTTTC